GCGTTTTTGTGTTCTATGCTTTATCGAAGAAATGAGGGACAGCACACGCACATATATAAGTGTTGATGACCAGAGCAACAGTGTGGACGGGGCACAGTGAATTAATGTGCATACGGCTGTGTCAAAGACGATGCWTGCTTTGTGATTGGCTAAAACGCGTAGAAAAGMTTCGGTTTGGGAAGCACAGYYCAGTAGCAAGGCACTCCTCGCTCACGTGATGATCCAAAGGTCGCTGGTCCAAACCCAATGAGTCATGCGTGGAGAGGAAAATGTTTTTAGAATACATACATGGGACGAATTGTATAGTGTAACTGCTCGAGTWCACATTAGAACTTATTTCAATAAGATGGAAGACTTTTTTTATTTTAAGAATTTTACAGATAACTTTACTATTTCGTGTAAGCGGAAAGATTATTTCTCTTGAGTGGTCAAAATCTTCTACCAGCGTGCATAAAAACTAATGAAATGTAGTATAGTAGCGGAGCTCAGGCGCGGGCCAAAAGGCAGAGCACCATAGCAAGAAAAACCAGTAAACCACTGAGTCAATTTTTCATATATTTTTTTAAAGAGAATCGGATAATAAACTTTGTTTCATCAAGCCTTGTTACATATCAGGCTTATAATTGACTCTAACAGAATGTAATATAAAGCTGTTCGTTGCCGCAGAATGCAGTTTAGTAACTATTTTTTTTTTAAGCGAAATCATTTAGTTTAGCTTGTGGACACTAATCATTTGGTTACAGTGAAATTTATTTTCGTGACCAGTGTGAAATCTTCCTTTTCTTAAACCAAACAGGAATTACTGCTGCCTGGTACTACTGTTGTCCAGAGTAGGCCTGGTAAAGTTACGTGAATTCTTCATAAATGAGTGGAATTCTCTTGGTACACTTCTTCCTTGGACCAACTGTYCACARAATGGTGRTGACTTGTTGAAGAAGAGAAAGTTCAAACCACTTGATTATGAAAAARGCAAAGTCAAGTCAGGCGACACTACAACATGGGATTTGTCTCTCTTTGTAAAAGCTCTGTTAAACACCAAGCCYCCCCTAGTACCCAAATCCAACAAAGCTTTAGTTGATGGTTTGTCGTGTTTGAAGGACRCAAGAAACACACTTTGTCAYACCACTAGTGGAAGGGTGAAAAYCTCAGAGTTTACTAAACTTAAAGGTGATGTATGTAAGGGACTGGTGCTTATTGGAGCTTCACCAAACGACATAAAGAAGGTTGAGGAAGGTAAATAAGTCATGCATGCATTACAATTTTTGGAAAATGTATCATTTATAAGTAGAGCGATTTCACATACATGTAATTGCATTTTTATATGACAATGGGCAAAGTAGTATGAGTAATGATCAAGTTATACGAGTGAAAATGTGCGCTGTACCTGCAAAAGGAAGGTCGAAATTGAAATGAAAAATAATTTATAAATTGCAAAGGATGAATATTYCCGCTCAGTTCATTGAAAATCAAGTAAAAACAATCATGAGTTTGGCTAAAATAAACTAATACCGGACACTAAATCGAATGTCRAAAAAATGAAATATCTTATAGAAAAAGCCAGTGTTCTCTTAATCTATACTTCAATATTATGGAGTCATTGAACTTCTTATGCTTATGCAATGCTCACTTAGAAGAATACTATTGGGTTCTTTATCATATAAAACGTACCGCGTGCTGTAAAATCGCTTAAGTAATGACTTGATATAGAGTGTAGTTCTACCATTGTTGCAAATGTTACACTATATGATAAAGTATAGGACACGGACCGCGGAGCGGGATCTTGTTTGGGGGGGCTAGCGGCGAGGAGGTACTAGGGGGGTCGGAAATTTCTGAAATCTTAACTCTCGGAAATGCCATTTCCAGCGTTTTGAGGCGTTATCCAAGACATATTTACCGCAGACACGGTCAGCAATATTATCAATAAAATCCCAAAGA